AACCCGTTTTGTCACACAATCAATGGTGGCACCATATTTGGTCAACCAATCCATGCCCAAAATTACATCGAAATGCCTAAAATTCAAGGGCAACAAATCCACATATAGGATAGCATCCTCAACACGCATATCACAAAACCGGTATATAGATTCACACAATACAGATTCCCCAGATGGAGTAGACACACATAGCAGATATGGCAGTAATTCTAAGGGTCTATTCAGTCTAGATGCAAATGCATATGTCACAAAAGAGTGTATGGATTCGGAGTCAATTAACACAAAAGCATCCTGATTACATATAGAAATAGTACCTGAGACAACTGCGTTGGCATTCCGTGTATCGCCCGGAACAAGCACAAAAACTCTCCCCTGTCTCACGATATTCCCAGTGGTAGCAGATCTCAAAGTATTTCCCGGCTTTGGGATCGATGCAGTGGAACTAGCAGCTATCTTTCCACCATTCTGATTACAATCTCGGGCCATATGCCCTTGTTTTTCATATTTGAAATAGGCTCCTGATGCACGGTAACAAACTCTATGGTGCCTTTTGCTACAAATGTTGCACATGGGAGCTGTGTCTCGGGAAGAATTCAAAGTATTTGAGGAGCCCATGTTTTGCTTTTTCAGAAATTTCTTCTTTGAAAAGAAGCCTTGCCTTTTGTTGCCTCTCCATTCTGTCGTTGGCTTAGCCTGTCTAGCTATGTTAGCCTCTGATATGATGGCCCTGTCTAGCACCCCAATGTAGGTTTCTAGCTTCAAAACATTCACTCTTTCTAAAATGTCGCTTCGAAACCCACCTTCAAAATGCCTCGCCTTCTTATAGTCCGTATCAATCACGTGTGGTGCAAACCTGGCCAATTCAGTGAATTTGGCCTCATACTCAGCTACAGTCATACTGTCTTGCTTAAGTTCCATGAACTCTGCTACTTTCTTGTCCCGAACACACTGCGGGAAGTACTTGTCATAGAATATTTCCAAAAGTTTCACCCAATCAATATCCTTGTGATTTTCTCGCATTAACATCTACCATCTTCTTGCCTCGTCTTCTAGCATAAAAGTGGCTAGAAGCACTTTCTGTGTCTCCGAGCAAGAGAACACTTCAAACAATTTCTCAATGCCGAGAACCCATGCCTCGGCTTTCAACGGATCTAATCCACCATGGAACTGTGGTGGTTTCATCTTTTTGAATTCTTTGCTGAGAGCTATTATCCGATCATCATTATGATTATCTGGCACAGGTGGTGCCGGAGGTGGAGGTGGAGGTGGCGGATGTGGTTGCTGCCACTGCTGTTGCCGCTCCTGTTGCTACATCAAAGCTTCTGCCATTTCCTGTATCAGTCTTTCCATTCAGTCTATTCTGGCAGTAGAGGACTCCTCTATCTCATCACCTCTTGGTCTCACCATCTGATTAAACTTGCATTATACTTTATACAAAAGTTCCACAAATATGCATATACTAGAGAGCATATGTGGTCAAATAATTTACAATGCAAGTAAATCACAACTTATAGCACATAATTGTTCAAATCAAAACACTTAAGCATATTCTTGATGCTTTCAATTTCACACTTATCATATGAATGCATCCTAGATCTTTTCTAGACGTTTATTGCTCTTTCGGATAAGTGTGTGAATTATTAACTCGTGCTCTGATACCACTATGTCATGACCCGAACCCGCCCCCGTGGGTTAAGGACATAACCGGCCAGTAATCAAGAGATTACCTACAGCCTTGAACCAAACCAAACATATTTTAACAGAGTTAATGGGGGCCAAACGGAAGCAATTTAAAACTTTGTCCATAGAGCTGTGCTTACATGGCACATCATAACAAACCATACATGTGCATATTAATAACTCACAACAAAATATGTACTACATAAGGTTCTGTACATACAGGATCATATAAGTCTAAGTCAACCCATCACGACTATATACAACAGATGCAAAGTCTTCACCAACATGCGAGAATATAAATACATAACAAAAGGGCGAAGACGGGCCTCGTGCGTAAGACACAAGGGCTGACTCTCCCAAAACCTTTGTTGTTCCTCACAGACTTCACTGGAGTCGGGTTTGGACTTCACTTGGCTCACCTACAAGCATATGAATGAGCATGAGCAAAGACCCAGTGAATAATATCAATTAAAGAATCTATACAGATGATATATAGAACAACATGCTTCAAACAGCCTTAGGCCCAATTCCTATTTCTATTTAACATATATACCCAATTTAGGTCAAGTGACTGCGGTTCCAAACAAACTGGCCTTTGGCCCATTCAAACTTTCATTTGTGTCAAAATGGCCTTTGGCCCATTCAGATAACAAAATGGCCTTTGGCCCATTCATTCGTTCATGTCGAAACGGCCTCTGCCCATTCATTCATGTCAAAACGGCCTCCGACCCATTTATTCATGTCAAAACGGCCTCTGGCCCATTCATTCGTGTCAAAACGGCCTCTGGCCCATCCATTCAGGCCAAAACGGCCTCTGGCCCATTCATTCATGTCAAAATGGCCTCTGGCCCATCCATTCATGTCAAAACGGTCTCTAGCCCATTTATTCTATTATTCAGATCAGACTGGCCTCTGGCCCACTCATTTGGTATAGCAAACATTGTCCACCAATCGAATCAATGAACTTATGAAACTTACATAGAAGTAAGCAATTGGACAACAACATATTTCAGATATCTCTATTAAGATATTACTCACAGTGATCTGTTGGTTGGTTTGTCCTGGAGCTCAACCCTACACATTCCATGAACACAAAAGGGTCACAAACAATTTGATCTGTTCTAAATTCATATTTTCCTCTTTAGGCTTCATTCTTATCTCTTTAACTCAATTACAATGCTCAATGCATGCCTAAGGGTACTTGGAAGTAAAAGAGAACAGAAAATGAAACACAGAATGCCTTTTCAAAATTTTAGAAAACAAGATCCCCGCTCGAGCATGGACTTCCCCGCTCGAGCGGACCCTTGAGACCTGCAAAAGTACTGGATATGTCAAATTTACGCTCGATCGCGAACTCTGGCACTCGAGCGGAAGGCCTCTCTACATGGCTTCCGCTCAAGTGTGAACTTCCCCACTCGAGCAGACACCATGTCTGCAGAAAATACTGGGAACACGAATTTCACGCTCGAGCAGCGGTTTCCCCTCTTGAGCAAACATCAAAATTCTGGAAAATCCAGAACATGTTCTTGAGCTTCAATTTGATGTTCAAAGGTTCTAAATGCACGATTTTGGCTCAAACTTCACATATACATATTCTAACATGGTGTAAACACCAAATTACAACACAATGAAGCTCAATTTCACAATTTAATCACATGCATGTCTCAAATTAACTCAAACTCATCACCAACACACTAGATTCAAACATGCAAGACTCAAACTCCCATGATTTGCACTTGCATGTGAAATATACACAATATCCTCAGCTTAATTGGTGAAGAGATGATCAAATACATGGTCGTTAATCAAAACTCAACAAGGATTACATACTTTATGCTCAAACATGGAAATTTATAGTAATTTCCTACATGCATGCATCTATTGACGTTAAATTCAACAAATACAACTCAATTTCCTTATAATCAAACTAATTCATGTTCTTGACCATGAATCAAACTTGAATCCACAATTTACAACATTAAGCTCATGAATTCCCTTACGTAGGAGCTCAATCTTCCAAACTATAGCAATTTCTTGAGTTTAATCTTCAAATTCCCCAACCTTGAGCCAAGATTACACAATTCTCTCCCTCTCTCTCTATAGTCGACCCTCTCTCTTCTTTGGGTTCAAATCAGCCAAATGAAGCTATAAAGAGGGAATTGAGGGTGTAGTGCCTTATTACAACAACCCCACTAATTCCAATTTAATAATAATAAATAATTTGGCACTAATTCATCAATTAAATCAATTAATTCTGATCTTAATCAATTTCCAATTAAATTTCACCGTAGGCTCTAAAAATTATGCCAATCACAATGGCGTAGTCAATTTTGGTTTCTGTGGCCAATAAGGTCTTCAATTTAATTTCCAAAGCAGACAATCAAACAGATATTCCTAAGGTGAATAGATAGAAATTCAAAACCATATATTTTCACATAATGGCACACAAAATCATATTAAACACATAATCATATTCATGTTAAGGACCAATTAACATATTATGGAACAGGGATATCACAATAAAACTCTCAACTTCCCTACAAAAGGATAGATAAGTTTTCTGGATACTTGTGGCTTCACCTTCTAGGAGTAGGCTAGATTCTGTTCAAATGGACACACACACACACACAAAAAGAGGTTAGAATTGGAAAAAGTTATATCCAAAGATTCATAGTTCGTTGTTGATAGTTAAGATGAAGTGGTAATTAGTTAACACCAAAACAAGAGTGTTCCAAAGAACAAAGGGAATTGTTCTTTTTTAATGTCTTTTTTTTCACATACTACTCCCTCAAGTAAAATTCTTGAACTCATCTATTATCTTACATTTCTTTGTAGCCTTTGGTTTTTATTTGGAACTTCATTGACTTTTCTTAATCCAAATTTGTAATACTAATGAGTTTTGTTTATCCAATTTTATGATATACATCCAATGGTGTCTTTGCATACTGAACTATTCAGGTTCTTAATCCATATAATATAGCGAGTTTTGTTCCAAGACTGCTGTGAAAGTCCAAAGAGCCTCCTCATCAATGCTTCGGTTTTCTTATCACGTTTTCTTCAGCTTCAAGGGTGAAGATCCCCGCAGGACATTCACTGATCACCTTTACATAGCTTTAATTCATGCAGGAATTCACACGTTTAGAGCTGATGATGAACTTGAGAGATAAGAGGATATTGAATCAAACCTAAAGAAGGCAATCCAAGAATCGAGAATTTCAATAGTTGTCTTGTCAAAAGACTATGCATCTTCTAAGTGGTGCCTTAATGAACTTGTGAAGATACTTGAACGCAAGAGAACTGTCAATCATATAATACTTCCCATGTTCTACCATGTGGATCCATCCCATGTCAAGAAGCAAACAGAGAGCTTTGCAGAAACATTTGAAAAACACATGGAGGGATTTGAGGTAAAGACTGATGATAGAAAACAAGAGAGGCTTGCAAAGATAAAGACATGGAGGGAAGCTATGAGAAAAGTTGCGGATTTGACAGGGATGATCTTAGAAGATGGGTACACAATTTTCTCTAACTTATTGGTTAGGCACCATCCTGATCAAGCACGCAAACATCATTCAACAAATTTATTCAATTATCTGCAATCAAGAGTTCCAACACAACCTTTATGGAAAGTTGTATACGTAGGCCATATGATAATGTCTATTTGAAGAGAGACTAGATATTGAAAATATCTTTTTCTAAGATTTGAAATTCTATGACTCAAAGAGTACTATAAATTTTGCATTAGATTAATAAACATAGTCAAGGCTTTCTCCTTTTTTTCTTCAAAAGTTCACATGCATTTTAATTTTTACCAAAAGCATTGTCTATTTTCTAGTAACTTTGCAAAATCAGATGGTGTTCAATGGCATCAGTGTGCCGTTTTACCTAGACCATCCCCAGAGTTACGCATCTCACCATGAAAATTCCAACTAATTGCTTGGCAGGCAGATTATAGAACAAATATTTTGAATACTGAAATAGAATGAAATGGTTTACAACAAATAGTTGGGAAAAGGTTGGTAAAATATAAAAATGTAAATATCATATTTATTGTGAAAAGAAAAAGGACTTATTGGCTTAAAAATTAGTTGGTCAAGTTGGAGTTGTGATTTATGTATGAATTTAGATTTTTCGTTGATTTTTTTTTATCAAAAAAATATTTTTCATGTAATATTAACTTCAAAATTGCATGCGTTTTAGGATTATTGCCCAAAATTAAGAATCATAACATTTACTTAATTTTGTGTGCATTCAAGTTATAGTGGCTAAATCTAATCATCATGAATTTTTATTTTTTTTACATTTGAATTCTTATTCTTTTTCAACTAATGACATGGAAACTATGATATTTCCTTTTTGGTTGTTGTTTGAAGGCATGAGTCAAGATTTATTCAGAAAATTGTGAAGGAGATTGCGAATAAATTGCATCGCACAGTCTTGAGTATAGGCCCCTATCAAATTGGAATCGATTCTCGTATAGAAGAAATTAATTCTTGGTTACAAGATGGATCAACTAATGTTGACATAGTGATGATATGTGGGATGGGTGGGATAGGGAAGACAACCACTGCCAAAATAGTTTACAATCTAAACTTCAACAAATTTGATGGTAGCAGTTTTCTTGCAAATATTAAGGAAATATTAGAACAACACAATGGCTTAGTTTATTTGCAAAGAAAGCTAGTTTAGGATATTTTGAAGGGAAACCAGAAAAAAATTTGAACTGTTGATGAAGGGATTATTAAGATCAAAGATGTTATATGCTGCAAAAGAGTTTTTCTTGTGCTTGATGATGTGGATAAAGTGGAGCAATTAAATGCGGTACTCATGATGCAAGATTGGTTTTATTCGGGAAGTAAAATTATCATAACAACTAGACACAAGCAATTGTTGACGGTACAAAAACTGTATAAGGTACATAGGGTTAAGGAGTTAAATGATGATGAATCACTTGAGCTCTTCAGTTTGCATGCCTTTCGACAAAACCATCCCATTGAACGTTACGTGGAGCACTCAAAAGGAGTTGTACAGTACTACGAAGGGCTGCCTTTAGCTCTTCAAGTTTTGGGCTCTTTGTTATACAACAGAAATGTAGATGTGTGGGAAAGTGCTTTAAAGAAATTGGAAGCAATTTCCGATAGCCAGATCCTTGAAAAACTTAAAATAAGTTATTACTCTTTTGATGACCATGACAGTAATCTATTCCTAGATATTGCTTGTTTCTTTGTTAGAAAAGACAAAGACTTCATTATTATAATACTAGATGGGTGTGATTTTCACACAAGAGTAGGGATTAACAATTTCATTGATAAATGCCTCTTAAAAATTGATGAAAATAACAAGCTAACGTCATATCAGTTGTTTCAAGCCATGGCACGAGAAGTAATACGACAAGAGTCACCTGAGGAACCTGAGAAAAGAAGCAGACTGAGCTTCTTCTCTTCCTTCCCTATATATTCTGCCTTAAGAGAATCATTTGCCACATCAAAAGAAGTAGACATACAAACTGATGCATTTTCAGGAATGTGCGAACTGAGACTGCTTCAACTCTATAATGTACGGGTCACTGGACATTATGAGAAATTTCCCAAGAAGTTGAGATGGTTGTATTGGCGTGGTTGCCCTTCAAAATATATACCCAATGAGTTTCCTTTGGAGAGCTTGGTTGCACTTGACATGCGTTACAGCAGACTGGAACAGGTTTGGAGGGGAACAAAGGTATAACAATATCTTTTCCTGTTTCAAATTTTTGGGGTTTAGTATAAAATAATCATCGAATTTAATTCATTTTCTTATTATAGTTGCTCAGATTACTGAAAATCCTCAATCTCAGTCAATCCCACCGCCTGATCAGTACCCCAGACTTTTCAGAGATCCCTAATCTGGAGAGGATAATTCTTAAAGACTGCATAAATCTGATTGAGGTTCATGAATCCATTGGAGAATTAAGTAGACTTGTCTTGTTGAATCTGAAATACTGCAGAAGACTTAGGAAGCTTCCACAACAAATTTGTCACCTGAAATTCCTTAAAGAACTCATCCTCTATGGTTGCTCAGAGCTCAATCAGTTGCCTACAGAGCTAGGCAACTTGGAATCTTTGACAGTGTTCAATGCAGACAAAACTGCTATATGTCAATCACAGTCAACCACCGATGAGAAGAATTTTTGGTGCTCATTCTTCTCGTCATGGGTTTGGAAACCAAGACAGTGTCCGAATCCCATCAGCTTTTCATTGGCTTCCTTGTCACACTCCTTAGTAACCTTAAGTCTTGCACATTGCAATCTTTCTGATGATGCTATGCCAAGGGATATGGGTGTGTAAATCTAATCATCATGATTTTTTATTTTTTGTTTTTACATTTGAATTCTTATTTGATTTCAACTAATGACATGGAAACTATGATATTTCCTTTTTAATTGTTGTTTGAAGGCATGAAGCAAGATTTATTTAGAAAATTGTGAAGGAGATTGCGAATAAATTGGATCGCACAGTCTTGAGTGTAGGCCCCTACCAAATTGGAATTAATTCTCGTATAAAAGAAATTAATTCCTGGTTACAAGATGGCTCAACTGATGTTGGCATTGTGACGATATGTGGTATGGGTGGGATAGGGAAGACAACCATTGCCAAAACAGTTTATAATCTTAACTTCGACAAATTTGAAGGTAGCAGTTTTCTTGCAAATATCAAGGAAATATCAGAACAACACGATGGCTTGGTTTGTTTGCAAAGAAAGCTACTTCAGGATATTTTGAAAGGGAAACAGAAAAAAATTCAGAGTGTTGATGAAGGTATTAGTAAGATCAAAGATGCTATATGCTGTAAAAGAGTTTTTCTTGTGCTTGATGATGTGGATGAAGTGGAGCAATTAAATGCGGTACTCATGATGCAAGATTGGTTTTCTCCGGGAAGTAAAATTATCATCACAACTAGACGTGAGCGGTTGCTAACGGCACAAAAACTGTGTAAGGTACATAAGGTTAAGGAGCTAAATGATGATGAATCACTTGAGCTCTTCAGTTTGCATGCCTTTCGACAAGACCACCCCATTGAAGGTTACGTGGAGCACTCAAAAAGAGTAGTGCAGTACTGCAGAGGGCTGCCTTTAGCTCTTCAAGTTTTGGGCTCTTCCTTACACAATAAAAATGTAGATGTGTGGGAAAGTGCATCAAAAAAATTGGAAGCAATTCCTGATAGCCAGATCCTTAAAAAACTTAAAATAAGTTATGACTCTTTAGATGACCACGACGGAAATCTATTCCTAGATGTTGCTTGTTTCTTTGTTAGAAAGGACAGAGACTTCATTATTTCAATACTAGATGGATGTGATTTCCACACAAGAGTAGGGATTGACAATCTCGTTGATAGATGCCTCTTAACAATTGATGAAAATAACAAGCTAATGATGCATCAGTTGCTTCAAGCCATGGCACGAGAAGTAATACGACAAGAGTCACCTGAGGAACCTGAGAAAAGAAGCAGATTGTGGGAATATAAGGATGCCTTTAATGTATTAATAGAGAAAACTGTAAGAATTATATGCTATTCACAGTTACTTGTATGTTCTTCTCTTGATGTGTATACTCACATTATCCTCTCTTTTTTTTTTTGGTTGTCAGGGGACGAAAACAATTGAAGGCCTCAGTCTAAACATTCATGCATCGAACAAAGATAAATCATCCAGGAGGGTAGGTAATGCAAAAAGATGCAATTCTGGAGATTTGCATGACATATCAACAATGTTTTATGAAGGCCATCCATCAAAGCAACGTCGTCTGAGCTTCTTCTCTTCCTTCCCTATATATTCTGCCTTAAGAGAATCATTTGCCACATCAAAAGAAGTAGACATCCAGGCTGATGCGTTTTCAAGAATGTGCGAATTGAGACTGCTTCAACTCTATAATGTACGGCTCACTGGACATTATGAGAAATTTCCCAAGAAGTTGAGATGGTTGTATTGGCGTGGTTGCCCTTTAAAATATATTCCCAATGAGTTTCCTTTGGAGAGCTTGGTTGCACTTGACATGCGTTACAGCAGACTGGAACAGGTTTGGAGGGGAACAAAGGTATAACAATATCTTTTCCTGTTTCAAATTTTTGGCGTTTAGTAAAAAAGATTCATTGAATTTAATTCATTTTCTTATCATAGTTGCTCAGATTACTGAAAATCCTCAATCTCAGTCATTC